CAGTGTTTCATGCAATAGCTAATACATTTGTGAATATTTTTAATAAAAAAGAAAAACATTCCGTGCTCTGTTGTGGTTGTGCTGTGTCACGTGACAAGCAATGACATGTCACCATGGAAACATTAAAGCGGCAAGTTCTAAATAATGGTCGCCTTTAAAAACTCATGCTGGGGGTCAGTTAGAATATTTTAAACTTACGTGTGAAAGGGTTAAAGGCTACAAACTTAGCCCCTCATTATTCCAAGGTGTGGGACCCACTCACTCTACAGGCCTATTACAGATCAGTGGGTGGGACTTCACTTGCAGAAACTGAATCAATATCAGCCATCTTGTTTGGAAGCTAATCTAACAAGTGCTGTGGAGATAGAAGTGTATGATAATGACGGAAGTAACTAAACATGATATGGAAGAAGAGGATTTTGAAATTCTGCTGCTCGAATCCGATGTTCGTGACAATCTTTACAAGCTGCAATATAGTGAAGAGCAGCTGAGGCTGATGGAGGAACCGGAGGCGGCTGCCTGTCGCGGTCGAGGAGCCCGGACTGGCTCGAGCAGGGCGGACTGCTTGTGGCTGTGCTATTGCTGTGTGCTACGAACATCTGCTGCAGGGAATTTGAAAGATGGCAATTTCTCCTGAACGAAATCTCTGAATCAGACGAGCACACGGACGTTTGTGTTGTGATCCATCCTAGTTTCGGCTGACTGAACAAACCAGGTATCATGCAGTAATTCACCATATAGAAATAAATACAAACAAGGAGTAATTCACTAATGAGTTTGCCAATGTAACGTTAACAGGGTTTGTTGTTGTGGAAAGGAGGCGGGAACCGGCGAACATTTAAACATTTTAATAGTAAAATGAACAAATACAAAACAAAAGTATAAGCCAGCAGAGCAGCCCGTCATTGACGACTGCTGTAACGTTACTCACGACAGAAACAAAACACATCATAAAATCAGGCCTGTTTCTCCTTCTCCTTTCTCCTGAGGAGGCCGTCGTTGCTCCTCATTTTATGCTTTCGCTCCTCCGTGAGAGATGCGAGACCGGTGTGTCTCACCGGTGTCTTTCATTATCACTCACGCCACCGGCCTCGCACCGTCCTCTTACGCCCCTCGCCCTCGAATGTCCTGCTCGCCACAGCCAACTAACTAGAAATTTTGTGTGAAATGAATTTCAAAGTCTAGTGACAGCTAACGTCAGCCTTGTAGACGGATTTTTGCGGTTTGTGCTGTTCCGGATTAGTGGGTGTGGCTTGCGGAGCTGTGCTATATTGGTGCATTGTGGGAGTTATAATACTTTATATTAAGTGGCTTTAAGTACCATTTACTTACATTGAAATGAATAATTTGATACAATGGACTTAATGTGTACATACATGTTTTTACATTGTACTTATATTTTAAAAATACCAGCATGTAATTACAGCTGTAATTAATATATGTAATTACATATGTAATTACACAGCTGACCCATCCCTTTACACTTAAACCCACCCTTAAACCTACCCATACCACCACACCTGCCCCTAACCTTACACGTATCACACCTCAATAGCAGCAAAAGTGATTTACAATACAACATGAGCACAATAAGTACATTGTACTTATTTTTAAATGTAAGTACATAGTACTTGAAGCCACTTAATATAAAGTGGGACCAAAAATTATTTTACATTTCGTCTACATTTATGATCCACTTTCAATAAAGATTAATGTTGAAATGGGTGAAATGCTCCTTTAAACCCTTTGAGCCTAACACATTATTGTCATTATTACTTCAAGATCAAGTAACAAAAATGTGCAGGATCTCCAGAATCTGCTGAATATACCAGCTTGTAAAGTGCTGAACACACAGACATACACAGACCATGGCAGGAGCAAATGAGTGGCCATGTTATACACTGAACACCTGAGCAATTAGTCATGTCTATTATTCTAAACCAGCAAGAGGAGCACTAAGAGAAAATCAACACAAATACTGTCAGAGGGTTATATCATCTTCCTAATCAAATTATAGTTAGGACAATTGTAAAATAATAATGATATTTGTGGAAAAAAATCAAAAAGTAATGAACAGTGGATATGACCAAATTTTTTTTTTAGATGAAATAATAATTACAGATTGTGATCGAATTTAAAACACAGATGAATAATAAGGAACAGAGTTTATTAAGTATTTTACACATGACACAAACAGTCTAAATTGACTTTACTTACTGACATGGTTTTTTTTTATGGGGTTCCATTTTTCACCTGGAGAGTGAGGGGGTGTCAGAGGCTTTTGCATGGCTTATAATGACAAAGCTCTGATTTACATAATTCATCAATGGATGGCCTCTTGAACCATTTGAACAAAACAAAATTCTGTTCGCATTTTCTAGTAAAATAATTCTGACAATGTTTTACATCATAAAAAAAAATCTTTTAGGAGAAACTTTGAAAAAATAAATTAGTTTGTTTCTATCTTGCTTGGCTTCATTTGCTTGGCTTCATATTACAACCCCATTGGCTATTTGATTTAGGCAGCAGACATACTAAAAATCAACATAGGATATGTCAACATGTCAAGCATATAAAGGTTATTCTGTATGTAAAAGAAATGGTAACACCTTAGTTTAGAGTCAAATTCTCACTAACAAGCTGCCATTAGCATACATTTTACTAGTATATTTGCTGTTTATTACTTATAAAGCACATATTAATGGTGCCTTATTCTGCATGACCATTTTTTACATCCCTTACCCAATACCTAAAGTTAAATTACTAACTATTAATAAGCAGTAATTAGGAGTTTACTGAGGCAAAAGTCTTAGCTAATAAATAGTTGATATTTGGACCCTAATCTGTGACCAAAGAAAAAAATAAATCTATTAGCGGAACAATCAGCTCCAAACAATACACATATTACATCCTCAAGAAGTAAAAAAAAAAAAAAAAAAGAAAAAGAAAGAAAGAAAGAAAGAAAGAAAGAAAGAAAGAAAGAAAGAAAGAAAGAAAGAAAGAAAGAAAGAAGTAGTTTGATTGTGTGCTTTGTCATTAAGTCTTTTCAACTCTCTGCCCACAGAACTGCAGGGAAAAAGCAACGCTGGTGATTTCTACAGAAATAAAATTCCTTTCATTCTGGCACAGCTGCCACATTTCAAATATAAATGGGATACTAATGTACTGCTTACTGTTGCCTCCTGTTGATTTTGTTATTGTTGTTTTTTGCTAAATGTGATATTTGCTAAATGCTGATAAGTTTTTTTTCTGTAAAGAATATTTTTGGTGGTGAGATAAATTGATGATACCAGAGAGATTCACTAATGGCATTATTCCGGTTATTCTGGTACATTTTACACACTTGAAGTTGCAGGTCAAGTTAAGAGCCTTGCATTATCAAACGCAGTATTCCACGCAACAATGTCACATATTTTGGTAAATGTAGTTGGTTACATAGGTAAAAATGATCTTTCAAATATATAATTAAAATTTAATGCAGAATCCTTATTGTGAAGTGTGACAAATAAATAATTTCTTATATTCATTTGAACAGTGCATCATTGAGATTGCATGACCCAAATTTCAAGAAAAAGTCTTAAATATAAAAAAAATGAACTGTCAACATGTAATTATGTAATAGTCTTTATGATTATTAATTGTATAGGCAGAGCTGTTGTATTTAATCAATTTAACACTGTAATGAGTAGAATTAAGGGTGTTTGGTAGACTAATTGTTTGAAGTTTTTTTTTTTTTAATAAACTCTGATGACGTCAATGACATCATTTTATGACTCATCCCTAGAGCATTTTCTACCAACTGCACAAAGGTGGGCAGCCCTTAGGAATGATCCTGTATAAATCCGCCAAGCACAAGAGATTACCCTCAGATGACAAGTGAGGAATCTCTTTGTAAGCCCAAGAAATGTTTAACCTTTACAGACAGGCTCATTGTCTTGGCGTCTGTCCGAGGAACAACCCATCTTGGCATAACCTTTCAAACTCTCCAGGTTCAAGACTCCTCATTTGGCCTCAAGTGCAGATTCTCGCGTAAGAAGTTTTGCCTGAGTATTTGCTAAGTACTAGCTTGAAACAAACCACTGAATATACGGTAATGCATGATGCTCACCTGATCAGGTCAGAGAGGTTTTTTAAGGACAGAATTTTATAATTTGCCTAAATCAAAGTCTCAATGAGAATCAGTATTTAAACAGGGCTATTTTCCACTTAAAAAAAAAAAAAACACAAAAATCTGGGTAACAATACCAGGAATTGTATTTTTTATTCTCTTTATTAAACATCTCCCCAACATGGAAACAGGACACCAGGCCTAGGTATCAGCCTGTTTATACCCACACACCAAAATGTGACCCAGATTTGCATGCTGTAAAAACAGAGGGAGACACACACTGTGGCTTACAATAACATATTTACATCTTCTCACACAGATGAAACCGCCTGACACGGCACTGAAGGAAAATATACATTCAGCGGAGGCCATGGAGTTTGTGTAACCACTAAACAGGGCTATTAGAGCTCAATAATGCCCCACTTTAGCCTAAATGAATCCCAATGTGTTTTGCTTGCTACAAAAATAAACTGACTTGTTTTCCATTAGTTTCCGGGAGAGCTAGAAAATTAGGACCTCGAAGAAGAATGAGCTGCATGTAGGAAAAAGGTAAGATGATAGGAGCCACTAATCTACAGCATAAACAAAAACAGGATGAGTACTCAAATAGTTGATACATTTAAATCTTTCTTTTTTTTTTTTTTTGTCTGGGGAAAAAGTGCTATGGTGGATTTTCTGAGATTTTTTTATTTTATTTTTATTTTTTACGAAAAATAAACTCATTCAATATATTATTTTTTTTATTTTGTTGGCTACAGTGTACAATGTACTTGTTTCCACAAATGTCGAAGTAAATGTTACCGATTTGGACAGCACTTAAAGATATACAAATCTGCAGAGGCATGTGCTTTTAGCCACGTGACAGATAACCTGCTTGAGGAGGAGTGGCTATTAACTCTTCAGGTTGTGTGTTCCTTCGGTAGCACAGCCAGTTATTGACGGCTCACTTCTCTCTTCAACATTATGAAGACCACCATCAAATAAGGCTGTTTATGTGAGTGCTTCCATTTTTCTTAAACTCGGTCTTGCCAGAATTGCTCAGATTTAAGGGCATCTCTGCATAAGGACACACCTGTCGTTACAGATGAAGTGCAAAGGAACTGATATTTCTGGTTAGGGATTTTAAGGGCTGAATGATGACTGGTATTTTTTCACCAAAACATATCCAGCAAGCAAAAACCACTCGTTACTCCTGACAAAGAACCAAGCGATCCAAAACTGTGACAGACTTGATTTCCAAGCGGTGCTACCGTTGGGAGTCATTTTACCTCGAGTCATGCCTGTGGTTAAAGTGGAGAGTGACTCTCCCTCTGAAACCACTCTTCCAGTGAATGACGGTCAGAGAGCAGATCCGCAAAGAGGGCGCCGGAGGAAGAGGCCCCTTCAGCGAGGCAAACCACCATACAGCTACATCGCCCTGATCTCCATGGCCATCGCCAACTCGCCCGATCGCAAACTCACCCTGGGAGGGATCTACAAGTTCATCACAGAGAGGTTTCCTTTCTACCGAGACAACTCCAAGAAATGGCAGAACTCCATCCGCCACAACTTGACACTCAACGACTGTTTTATCAAGATCCCTCGAGAGCCTGGTAGACCCGGAAAAGGCAACTATTGGGCACTGGACCCCAACGCTGAAGACATGTTTGAGAGTGGTAGCTTTCTAAGACGCCGAAAGCGATTTAAACGCAGCGACTTCACTACGTATTCATCGTACGTGCACGAGTCTCCCGTCTTCTCACCAGTCCAAATTGCACGCTCAGCCTACGCCAACTCGGTCTACTCTAACATGAGTCCGCCATACACACAACAGCTGCCTTCCTCCTACTACCAGGCCTCCACTCCAAGCTTCGGCGGAAGTCAGTCGAGGGTCTTCAGAATCAACTCCCTCATTGGGTCGCCAAGCAGGATGGGCCAGAGCGCAGAAATGATTCCTCAGCAGTCTTGCCGCAGTTTCAGTCCAGAGAGTGGCTCCTGCCATTTGGGTGGACCAGGCTTCCAACATCAGCCCTGCAGCGGGGAGACGGTGCTATCCTGCTGTTCTAGCTCCTCAAACAACATGGCATTTGCCTACTCCAGCCCGGGACATGGACAAACTCAGGTATCATATACACAAGGCAGCACCCAGGCTTATGGGCCAACAGGGAGGATGGCCATCTCCAGTTTGTCTCCCATTGCTGGTGATGCTGTCGGGGACCCGTATGGTAGAACCTCCCCTGCACAGCTGGGCTCTTTTGTTCAATACAATAACTCTGGTCCAGTAGGAAACTCGGGAGCCTACATCAGGCATCCAGCTTACTCGGGTAATATGGACAGATTTGTGTCTGCCAACTAACAAAGATCAAGGATCTTTTCCCATAGCGAGAACTGCTGTCACAAAGGAACAGATTTGGAAAGACGATTTCAGTGACTATGAAAAACATTGTGAAAAACAACTGTGATATTTAAAATGTTGTTGTTGTTTCATTGTGATTGCCTCCATATAGTACATTGAAATGTTAATGATCTCAATTCACACATACAGACCTTTTGAAAAAATGTTTACAAATTCCAATTTTTTTTAAAACATTGTCTAAGCAAGGTGTTTTTTAATTATTTGTGAAATGTGTTCATATGTTTTATACATGCTTTTCTTATTTCCATCTGTGGTAAAAGTATAAATACTTCCATTTACTTTTCATTGAATTACGTTACTACATTTACTTAAATCAGTGGTATAAACATTTTCTTAAAGAGGCTGTGTTGCTGGATCTTTCAGAGAATGAGGAAATCTTTTTTTTTTCAATTTAACATTGAATATATACACACTAGGCTCTAAATAAAGAAAATCATAAAATATACATGTCCTAATACATCCTGCAGCAATCTATTTACATTTTTTTTTTTTTTATAAAACTGATCATGCCAAATGATATTTTTCTCCTGGTTTTATATTACTGAAAAATATTACAGCATAATTTACAGCACATTTATAGCACTAAAATAATTGTGAGAAATTATATTACTTAAGGATTTTGTGTATATTTTTTTGTAACAAGCTTTCAGTCAAATATGTATATGAATACATATAATTACCTTAGCGCTATATATAATTTATATAGCAGTTTTTGCAATACAGATTGTTTCAAAGGAGCTTATTGCTTTATAGCATGCAGGTTTTAAATGTTGGTTACACTGCACATATTTAATCGATGACAAAATGGTCGTAATATATATATATATATATATATATATATATATATATACACACACACCTTTCAGTGATGTTCTTAAAAGAGTGCAGGACTCTTTTGCCACTTATGTTTGTTAAGGTTTATTAGAATTAAAGTCTTCCAGTTCCACAAAATAGGTTGCGATCTGACAGCAGACTTATATCTGTTCTGTCACTCTCCATTTTTTTAAACATGTATTAATTTTTTTAAAAAGGAGTAATATTAAAACGACATATAGTAAAAGTATACCAGATGCATGCTAGCTGACAAACTTGAAAACACTACTAAGGTCAATGCCACAGAGTAATTTAGTGTAGTTAAAGACCAACTAACTAACTCTATAACAATGGGAAAAAAAAGGTTTCATTAGTTAACTACTTTAGTTAACATGAATTAATGAACAAAATATCTACAGGATTTATTAATCTAAATGAATGTTAATTTCAACATTTATTAATACATGATTAAAATCAAGAGTTTTATTTGTTAACATTAGTTAATGAACTGTGAACTAATTAAACAAACAATGAACATCTATATTTATATGAACTAATATTAACAAAGATTAATACATACTGTAGCAAATGTTGGTAATTGTTAGTTCATGTTAGTGAATACATAAATATCAACTAATGAAACCTTATTGTCATGTTACCAAAAAACAGTCGCAAAACAAAAGCAACCCATAAAACATACAGCAAAGAGTATACAAATAAAAAGGACTGATACCTAACAATTAAACTGAAAATATTGTGAGCTTTTTTTTTTTTTTACCTACATCAACTCTATAATCAATATAGCATGTCTCAAAGATCAGGATAGTGTAATACTGGCATTTTTGACAAGCTTGTGCAGTCGTCAGTGTTTGTGCTAGGATTAACATTACAAATTTCAACATATTATACATGTCCTGCTGTATTAATCACAAATTCAACAACTCTGTACTTATCCAACAAAAGGTAAAGAAGAAAACTAAAATCTTAATATGGTGAGAAGGGAAAGTTTAGCAGTCACCTGCGTAGGTTTTAAACAGCAGGCCAAAGTAGAGACCAAGGTATTGAGTATCAGTGAAGCAGAGTAACACATTGTGCTTGAATGGGTGGATTAAAACATCACAACGTTCACCAGGTTTTCACAAGCACTGGCATGATTAGAAAACCTATGATTAATTACTGGACTATCTGCTCATCAATCAGCCTTTATGTATATGATTCAGACTATGAATAAACACCTAAAAAAGGCATTCAATCATAAATTAGTTTATGCCCAATCTGTAATACAAGAATTTCAAATGTACAAACCTTTAATATAATACAAAACTTTTAATATAAAACTTTTTTTTCCATACACTATGTTTCCATACACTAATTGAACTTATTATTCTTAAATTAATCTTATACAATGAGCGAATTGACTTGCACTTCCACAGGCGTAATGTCTAAAGGTTTTTCTTTACTTAAAATAAAAACATATTGATAAGAAAACATGAAGCCTGTTTATTCAACAATTATGCATTTAAAAATTAAACTAACACATTTAAGAATTTTCAGAACTCATCCAAGAAATTCTACAAGCTTTTGTAGTTCAGGACAGCTCTTGACAAGATCTGGGACAGAGGACAATGTCTGTAAATAAAATAAAAATAAATATGAAAAAAGTACATCTGTTAATAAATTTACAATAAATTACAGTATTTTGAAAACATGTAAATATAGTTTTTTAAAGTCTCCATTACCTTCCTGACTGTTTCAATCATATCATCAAGCATATGTAGTTCTCTCTCCAGTTTACTCTGGTTCATGGCATGAACCCTTTGCTACAAAACCAGGTTACAGAATTAAAAAGACATCTTTCCAGGTTACAGAATTAAAAAGACATCATAAATTACTTCAGTATATTTAAAGTATTTTTTTCTGATGAATTCTTAAATGTGTTTTTTAAAGGAGTCCTATTATGCTTTTCCACTTTTTCAACTTGAGTTAGTGTTGCTGTTTGAGCATAAAAAAGATCTGCAAGGTTACAAAGCTCAGCCAACTTCAAAAGGGAGATATTCTATTTAACAGAATCCACTTCCCAAGAACTGCAACGAACGGCTCGTTCCGACTACATCCAATGTTCCCTCTAATTTTTTTTTTCTTGCAGAGCAAAACTTCTCTCTTCTGGACGGACATTGTTCGCCACGTGAGCAAAAACATTTTTTATAGCAGACCTGTACATTGTATGTAAACACACAAAAAAGGTTCCATCATGCAGTTTTAACTTAAAATAGAAATGGCACATTTAAGTTTAAGTTGACCCTTGATGCAACTTAGTGGTATTAATATTTTTGAAAACAAGCTAACATTAAGAAGTCACTAAATTAACCACATTTTAGGTTACCTGAGAACTTTTTTAGAGGGCTGTTAATTGTGCCAGCCTTTAGCAATACATTCTATAAAAAAATAATTTAAAAAAGAAATCTCCTGCAGGACATTCTTTACAATATAATATAGTATGAAAAAAATTAAGCAGTTACACTGACATGGGACAACAATTAAGTGTTTCTGGATAAGTCAATTATTGGCAACAGGCAGCATTAAACCATGACATTTTTTATTATTGCTTATGAATTTCCCATATTTTCTTAATCAGGGTTTTTCAAACTTTTTAAAGAGCACCTATCATGGATTTTTGAAAATGACTGTTCATATGGTGTGGAATATAGCTCTAAGGGAATGAAAACATCCTGCAAAGATTTATATCTGAAAGTGCACCGTATATAAAGTTATTGTCTTTCAAATGTGAGAGTCGACTCTGAGTCAATGAAATGAATTGTTTTTGGAAAAAAGTCATTAGCCGTTTCATCGTGACGTAGATACAAAACATTAGCTCATTGGCCGCTCCCAACAACTGCGTGCGCAGACGGAAGTGTAAACTTGAAGTCTAGAACACATTCAAAAACTTCAGCTGAATCGCATCATGTCGAGAAGACGCTGTGTTCTACATTGCAAAGACAGTTCAGCCACTTGTTTTCATTGCCCAGGGACGAGCATGTGAAGAATCAGTGGTCAGAGTTCATATTTGCAACGATACCACAACAGTATAGCCCGAACCTTGTGTTCTCATCATTTTAATGACGAATCATTCAAAAACATAAATGAATTCAAATGTGGATTCGCAAGCCGCTTGTTCCTGAAGGAGGGCTCAGTATCCAGTGTATATGGATCAGGTTCGTCCTCCTCCGAATCACAATCTGTAAGTAATATTAATAATGTTTGCTGTTATGTTTTTTCTGTAGCATGCACAATAGTTATATTGTGTTGTGTACACTCCGCGCAGCTTCTAAGCGGGGTAAAGTTAGTTTTGTTTTTGATATTCGCCAGACATTCATTGAAAAATGGCAATTACCTCCTAAACGGCTTAGCCAAATATGACTTCGCTCTATATAATAAGCACTGTCCCTCAAAAGCCGCCGCAATGTGAGTTTCGCCGGGAAAGCTCGCTCTTGACAGAGACGCGAGTAAGGGACCGTGTGGAAAGTGCACTTTTTCTGACACGTTTGTTCAAACACTATATACAATTTTCAACACTTGACAAGCTATAATCCTGGTTATGGGCGTTTCGTTGCGGACAGTCTCTGCCTACGGTTTACCAATAACAACTGACTGGGTCATTTGACCAATCGCCGCAGATTCACGTCACTAAAAGGAGGTGTTTGGGAAAATGAATCGTCGAACGAATCATTTGGGAGTCGTTGAGCAAATCAGTTAAAAATAAATGCATATTATAAGACAAATAAAGAGTTTTTTATCCTTGCATGCACGTTAAACTGTTTTTGGGAACTCCCAAAACAAAAATAGCAACATTTCAAATGCTATGATAGGGGCTCTTTAATGGCAAGGAGCTCTAAACAATCCACTTGTGAGATAAATTCTTTCTTAGACTTATAATATCAAAAATATATAATATAAAAACTAATTGAAGTATTTAAAGTGATATAATATATCAGTTTAAATGCTTTTATTTGTTTAAAACTATATAATTATATACTATATAATATGAAAAAAACTGAAGCATTTAAATAGACAATAGCTAATATTTACAAATGTGAATATATGAACTCTTTTAGGCTACGTTCACACTGCAGGCTGAAACGACAATTCCGATTTTTTTGCCCCTATGTGACCTGTATCTGATTTTTTTCATGACAGTCTGAACAACACAGATCCGATCTATTCAAATGCGACCCAGGCCACTTGGGTATGTGGTCCAAATCCGATATGTACCGGATCTTTTAATGTGCGACTTCAATCTGAACGGCCAGGTCACATGTATCCAACCCGCACGTCATTGATAGACAAACATGATAATTCTGCGTTAAATTAGGTGGGAATGAGAAGATTGTAATTGTTCTGGCTCTTTTGGGAAAATAACTTTAATATTGCTAAACGAGCTACACTGTTGACATCCATGTTTAGCTACTTCCGCAAACAAGTGACGTCGTTGACCATTGAGTACTCTTCTGCGCATGTGGGTCACTTCTGGGTCATTTCACGTTCACACAGGAGATCACAAAAGAAGTACTAACTACTACCTACTAACTATCAGTTGACCAAAGAATATCTCATTTAAACTATGGGTACGATC